GTAAGGAAAATTACTCATGAGTTCTGGCAGTCAGAGAGGGTTCAGCAGGGCTAAGATTTCAGATGTTTTCTCATACCCTTCAATCCCTGATAATCTGTTTCTTATCTCTTTATCAGAGGGTATGTCAAGACATCTTGCTGTTGAATGGGGCCTAGATGGCATTAGGGTAAACTGTGTTGCACCAGGTGCTGTGAAGGACACAGAGGGTTTTCGTAGACTAGGTAAAGAATTACAGGGAAGCAGAATCTGTACATTTTACCTGCACCTAATGCAATTTTCATATCATACAATTTTGGTAAGCTTAGAACAGAAGAGAGCACTTGGCTGCAACTGTGTTGATTGCTATGGTGACCAGAAACAATTTTGGCATCCAAAGTTTCAGCAAAAGCATCCTGTATTTGGCAAACATGTGGAAAGCTTCTAAATTGACATTGTTATTAGTAGGTTTTTAGAGTCTAAAGTTTGGCTAAGATAAAAATTTGTTTGCTTAAGATGAAATGAATTTTGGATATGTACAAAAGAATACTTTTCCTGGCTGAAAGCTAGTCTAAAAATATTTCATACTCAATGTTTAACATTTAATTTACCTTAATCCCTGTTCCACTTACAAAGTAATGCAGTTCACAATTTTCTTTCACTTTAAGTCTGAAGGAAGCTTTAACTGAACTACATCTTCACAGAAGGCAAACATCTTCCACCAAACTTCATTGAGAATTTGTACCTTTACAAAGACTGGTTTCTCGCCAAGATGTGGCAGATGGTGTACTCTTTCTGGCAAGTGGTGCTTCAGCTTTTATCACAACAAACACACTAGCAGTAGAGGGTGGAAGTGGATGGTAGTTGGATCACAAATTATGTTTCCATGGCAACAGTGAACAAGTCAATTAGCAAGCTGTGATCCACTAGACTCTGGTGTCCAATTAGTATCTGATGGGCACTTGTGCAAATCCCAATTAAGTGTGAAGTTTTTATGGCTCATTTGTTCTTTAGATTCTAATTATTACAGCAAGGAGAAATTAGATGCTGGTCACTCTAAGGGTTTTAAGGGTTAAAATACGATGAAGTATTATTTGGAAATGTGGAACTTGAATTACACAGTGATGAGAGCACCAGTTGTTGCCAATAGGCCATGGCAGATTCATAAAAAGATTCACTGGAGTAAACTTTTTTAATATGTTCAATCACATTGTTTACAATTTTTTTTCTGGATATTTTTATTTAGCATGAAAGTTCCATCATCTTGAAGCTGCTTAATAATACTAAAATTTCCCTTACTTTATGATTTACCTGCAAATTACTTAAATTTTTTTTTCTTTTTGTTAGTCAAAAGTATAAGATAATTGATTTTGTTGGGCACCTTTAATTTCATATCATAAGAGCCTGAAGACTTGCATCAACCCTAAGAAAATCTCGAGAGATGCCCTCTTTACTGCCTTCTCATCTTAGGTTGGAAGTATTCATGGAAAGCATGGTCATTTAATGATAAGTTTCTCTTCACAGACTCATTCAAGTTTCATAACTACGTTTATTCTTAGAAAATGTGTCAGTTAAATTTGTGAAGTAGCACTGAGTTTATTAGCCAAGGATGAAAAACTGTGTGATAGTTGGCAGGTGTATTGGAACAGATTTGTGATTGATGTCTGCTCATGGCAGGCAAAGTTTGGTAAGTGGATATAGAATAAAGTGATATAAATTGAATAAAATTGATTTTTGAAAATAAGCAACAGATGATTGCATTGACTGGTCTTAGCAGACCCTTTCTTTGACCTGATTTTAATAGCTATTAAGCTAGAAAAGATTTATGCAAACACCCATTCCCATTTTTCTATATTTCTTCCTATAGTTGAGGGAGGTCAAAGGTTGCAGCTTCTTATCAAGACTATTGTATTGACTTTAGTAACATTAGACATTTCTCTCTGCCTTGAAGAAAATAACTAGCCAATTGAAGGATATTTCATTAAGTGATACTCCTACATGTAAGACCTCTGACATTACAGAGTTCCATACAAGCAGCAAATTTGAATGTTCAGTAACACCCCCCCCCCCCCCCCCTTTGACCTGTAAAACATGATGATCCTTTTTGCTACATCACTGTTTGATATTATTCCTTGCCTTCTGGGGTCTGGTATGGACTGAAGTGCTCTGAAATACTGGACTAATCAATGCATTATGTATTTAACAAATAGATTCCAAGTTGCTGTGCGTCTGTTCAGTAATAGATAATTGATGATGTCAAAATGTGGTAAGAACAAAAAAGTGGCACACCAGGTGTAACAATCTCCCAGGAACAACAGATGTAAATTTCACAAATTTTGCTCTTTTTCTTCATTTATTAAGTCACTCCTTTCATTTATTTAGAAAATTTCTACCACTTTTTCATTAAAATACTTAAGATGGCATACAGTAGCATTTTTAACCCTAAGCATTGATGCCAAATCGAAATCTATGGTTCTCATTGTTTTACATCCTACTGCAAAAAGTTAAATCCAGGTCACTGTGAAAAAAATCTTACTTTAGTAAGGAAATAGCTAGTTTTACCAATCTAGAGAGGAAGGAGATTAAACAGATCTCGATTTAAGTCCAAAAAAAAAAAACCAAGTAAATTAAGTTTGTTACAGTTATCTATACAAGACAGTTATCAATCCACCTAACAAAAATTGAAAGTAATTTCAATTTACTCGCAGGTAACTATGAGTTACTAAAGTCCTTGAATATCTTAAACATTGTGATGAAAGAATAAGCTGAATTTTGTACATTATACCAAGAAATGTAAAAAAGCTTGGTGTTTAAGCCTTTAACTCCCAGAAGTGATTAACATGTAACTTCTCCCTATATTCATAAATTAACCATGAAACAGGTAGTGAGAATACTCAAACTTATCAGGTACAAGATGTTACCTTGATTAAACACCAAATTCTTGTAACCAAATTACAAGGAAATTTGTAGCAGCTGGAAGGGAGAATTGTCAATCAGATCTTGGGAGTTAAAGGGTCAAGCCTTTTCTATAGGTAAGCCTGCAAATTCAGATGTGTTTTTTGTACTGCTTCTCTCCACCCAAGCAGAGAGGAGTGATAACCATTCCTAGCCAAGGTTAGTTAGTCATTAAAACTAAATGCATGCCTATCTGTGCTGTAGTATAACACCTTTTAATGTTTTCTAAAAGCCAAGTTTTTCCTTCAGAGTAAAATGCATTGTAGTGTGGGAATTCTAAAGGACACATGTTTCCTCTACATGATCTCAAAAACTGAATCTCTAATATGATATACACAGATTTGCCACAATATAATTGGTGATGATAAAGGCAGTTTCTTCAAATCCAAGGATCAGTTGTGGGAAGGTCCTGCCAAGGGAGGCATGCTCTTGGATGACTAATCAGTCCTATTCTTGATATGCAGATCCTAGGACATCAAGGGCACAGGAAGGTAGGTCCTGTTGGATCCTGCTCTTGTGCTTCCTTTCGTCATCTCCTCCTCTCTTCTGCCGCCTCTCGTCTTGTGATCTCAAAATCTTGTGCTGCTCTTCTTGTTGTTAATCACCATGCTGCATGGTTTTCTGCAAGCTGTTCGCAGTGTTTGGGGTTGATGCCAGCCTGAGTCAACTGGCTTTTCAGTTAGTCTTTCCAGCGTTTTCTTGGAACCCCTCTGTCTCGTTTTCCATCTGATAGCTCCTTTGGGATTCATGTATCAGGCATACAGGAGACATGGCCAGACCATCATTGTCTCAGCATCAGCGTGGCCTCCATACTGGGAAGATTGGCTTTTTCCAGGACTTCATTGTTGGTTCTGTAGTCCTGCTATCTAATGTTCATGATGGAGAAAAGGCAGCATTGCTGTTCTAGGCGTTTGATTTGCTTTCTGAACAGTACACATGCCTTGACCCCTTACAGGAAGGTATAGATGACAACAGCCTTATATACCAGAATTTTGGTGGAGAGGCGAAGAGAGGGGTTTTGTGTGAGGGTGAACACTATCTTCCAAGTCTTACATTGCCTGCACATTCCAGCAAGCCATTTTCATATTCATAGTCCTTATCTGTTTCCATGTCTGTCTTTTAGTTTATACTAATAAAATCTTTTAACTAGTTTTTACTGCTAAACTAAGGATGCCCATTGATTGGGCCAACCAACTGGGTAAGGATGAGACAAACTTTTTTTAGGTCATCTTTACTAGACCCCTCTCTATTCAGGGCAAGTAATGCAACCCTAGAAAAGGCTGCTAGGTTGCTTGGGGTGAGCTGCTGAGTTGCTTGTCTCTGTTCACAAGCAAGTGACCATGTTACCCTAGACCACCTACATGCAGAGTTATTTCTGCAACTTCAGCGCCATCTAGCACCTGTCATTTTTGCCATGCTCCATCACTAGAGGTCTTTATTTCCTGCCTGCACTCTGTATGTTTCAAGTGAGGACCAGTTCATGCACATCAATCCCACTCTTTAAGCCCAGGGAAGATTTACAGCAGCTCAGCAGGTTGAGAGGTTGTAAGATTCGTAGGGCTGTAGCTTTTATAACAGGTGGCATCTCCTATCTTCTGGCTAAAGAGCCTTCTCTCAAAAGAACAACGACTATTTATCCATAGCTAGAGCATGGGTAAAGGACTCTCTGTCATGTCCTTGAACCCAGGGTAATTGCATGACTTAATTGTCCATTACACCTGGCACTAGATAGGTTTGGATGAAGTAGTCCTTCTCTTAAGTGGATTACCCTCTCAGGCTATCGAGCTCCACCTGCCCGGGCTAGGGCTTTAAAGGCGGCCCTTTCCCGCCTGATGTACTCGTCATGGGATTTATGGAGCATTTTATAGAGGAAGCAGTGCCATCTGCAGCCTCACCCCATCCTGGTAAGTACATCGCCACTTTGGTCTGCAACTCCTTGTCCACTGGGAAGCAAGCTTATTTGGAGCTCACCTTCAGTGAAGGCCTTTCACTATCTGCCACCTTTGACCTGATGGGCTGGGGATGGTTGCTCCAGATTACCATCAAGATAAATGCAAACTTATGAGTAATTACAATTTAAGACAATAATCATCCAATCCATTATAAATGTAACAAAAACTTGGAATTTCTCCTATTCATTTAAAAACTAATATTTATTACATCTAACTACACCTGTGCAAGTAATCTTAAAAGTGTGGGCCTCTGTGGCCTTTCACAACACTCTAGTGTGTGAGAGGAAGAAGATATTCTACAGCTTCTTTTTTTCCCATCTCTGCAGCCCACATTAAGGGTGTCTTATCACAACCATCCCTGGAATTAGGGTTGTGACCACGCTTAAGCAGCATCTCAATGGCTGCAACATTACCACTGATTGCTGCAGCAGATAGAACAGTCAACCCGTCCTTACTTTTCAAATTTTCATCAGCGCCCATTGCAAGCAGATAGTTTGCAGCCTCCAGTTTACCCTGTGTCAAGCAAAACAACAGTGGAGTTATACCAAGGACTGCATACCTAGCATTTATGTCAAGATTTTTAGAGAGCACAGCCTTAATAGTGAGAACATTGTCAGAAAGAGCAGCTAAATGGAGCAGACCAAGGTCTGATGTATTTCTAAGTAATGGATTAGCACCTTTAGCAAGAAGATATTCTACAACCTCTGTATTTCCAAGACGTGCAGCATGCATCAATGGTGTGTCTCCCCCACTATCTCTAGAATCAATGTTACAACCATGTGAGAGCAGCATCTCAATGGCTGCAATAGAACCAGCTGCTGAAGCAAGGGACAAAAGAGAGATTCTTCCCGGAGTGGTTTTCGAACTTTCATCAGCACCCTTCTCAAGCAGATATTTTGCTGCCTCCAATTGGCCAAATTTAATGCAAACCATCAGAGGGGTGAAACCCAGAGTTTCACCTCTGGAATCAATATCAAGACCTTTAGAAAGCATGGTCTCAATAATGATGACATTGCCAGACTGAGCAGCAAAATGGAGAATGCTCCATCCATTTTTCCCTTTCAGAAATGGATCTGCTCCATGTTTAAGAAGACAGTTTACAGCCTCTATCTGTCCACAAGCTGCAGCATAGGCTAATGGCGTGTTTCCCTCACCATCTCTTGAATCAGGTCTTAAATCATAAGAGAGCAACATCTCAATTGCTTCAACACTTCCATACTGTGATGCTATGTGTAAAGCATTGCTCTTGTTAGATTCAGTTGTCAAAGATATATCTGCACCCTTTTGAAGAAGATATTTCACAACTTCAACATGGTTGTGCATAACAGCTATTATCAATGGGGTGGCTGAAGATTCATCATCTTTTGAATTAATGTCAATGTCACAAGAGAGCATGCTTCTCACAATGGAAGAGTTGCCACCTTCAGCTGCTGCATGAAGCAGATTTCTTCCCATAAAGTTTTTAAGGAATGGATCAGCTCCCTTGCTGAGAAGAAGGTCTACTGTCTTCTCTTCTCCTTTAGCGGCTGCCACCATTAAGGGTGTTGTACCATCATTACCCCTTGAATCTATGTCTAATCCAGAAGATAGCAAATTCTCAATTATAACTTCATTACCACCCTCTGCTGCAGAATGTAAGGGATTCCACACTCTAGTTTCAACAGGCACACCTCCTTTCATGCCAGAAGTTTGTGTAGCTTGCAAGGGCATTGATTGAGTGTTGTTATCAACACCAGTAAGGATCACAGAAGGAGTTATGTCCATATAAATTCTTGAAGCAAAACGTATTCGTTCAACAGCACCTGTTGATAAATACAACCATTAATGAAACGAGAATGTGTGTGACTATATTGAAAGAAAGGTTCAGGGGTTGGAAATTCTAGACTTTGATGCCCAATTTCTCTGATTGATTTACATTTTTTTGCAGTTTAAATCCAAGAGATGTACCCAGAGAATCAACTTTATATTCTGAACACTGGTAGCATGCACACCAGATGATTTTTCCAGACCACTTTTAGTGATTTAAATTGGACATGTGATTTCCTTTCAATTAACAACTAGGTCTTAAATCATAAGAGAGCAACATCTCAATTGCTTCAACACTTCCATACTGTGATGCTATGTGTTAAGCATTGCTCTTGTTAGATTCAGTTGTCAAAGATATATCTGCACCCTTTTGAAGAAGATATTTCACAAGTTTAACATGGTTGTGCATAACAGCTATTATCAATGGGGTGGCTGAAGATTCATCATCTTTTGAATTAATGTCAATGTCACAAGAGAGCATGCTTCTCACAATGGAAGAGTTGCCACCTTCAGCTGCTGCATGAAGCAGATTTCTTCCCATAAAGTTTTTAAGGAATGGATCAGCTCCCTTGCTGAGAAGAAGGTCTACTGTCTTCTCTTCTCCTTTAGCAGCTGCCACCATTAAGGGTGTTGTACCATCATTACCCCTTGAATCTATGTCTAATCCAGAAGATAGCAAAGTCTCAATTATAACTTCATTACCACCCTCTGCAGCAGAATGTAAGGGATTCCACCCTCTGGTTTCAACAGGCACACCTCCTTTCATGTCAGAAGTTTCTGTAGCTGGCAAGGGAATTGATTGAGTGTTGTCATCAACACCAGTAAGGATCACAGAAGGAGTTATGTCCATATAAATTCTTGAAGCAAAACGTATTTGTTCAACAGCACCTGTTGATAAATACAACGATTAATGAAACGAGAATGTGTGTGACTATATTGAAAGAAAGGTTCAGGGGTTGGAAATTCTAGACTTTGATGCCCAATTTCTCTGATTGATTTACATTTTTTTGCAGTTTAAATCCAAGAGATGTACCCAGAGAATCAACTTTATATTCTGAACACTGGTAGCATGCACACCAGATGATTTTTCCAGACCACTTTTGGTGATTTAAATTGGACATGTGATTTCCTTTCAAAATGTATTTTGAATAAGAACTAAATGTATTTGAAAGCATTCTTAGTTTAATCATTATGGTTAATTTAACAGTATCTTTTATTCACCTTTCATTTTTTGAGATTCCCAAGGTAGCTTTTCTAGTTTTCCTTTCCAACCAAAGGTGGAAGATTGACAAAGAGACCAGATGCCTAAAAACAAAGTTTTACAGAGAGAGTGGACCATTTCTACTGATAAATAGTTAGAAATAGGCATAACAACTTTTAGCTAAGGATAGAATGATTTAAAAAAGCTGATGAAAACATCTATTTGATATCCACTTATATATCTCATGTATTTTGTTTTAATTCCACAAACCAACTCAAATTACCTTTGACATAAGTAGAGAATGAGGCACAATCATATTTGGTATAATTCACATTATTGTACATTATTTACAGCTATATTAGTACTCAGGGTGTTACTTTTATCTGAGAGATGTTAGCACAGCAAACCAACATGTGACCATCTGCATAGAATGCATGAAATTTATCTAAGATACATCATCAATGTCAGTTTTTCAATACATAATTTATGATTCAGGTCAGAAAAACCTATATACTATAGTTCCTATACTCTTGAGACAATTGGTTCTATCGTCAACAAAACCTGGACCCCTCTCTACATTTGTGTTAACCCTATAGTGCATTATGTTGAATGAGTGATGCATTGTGTTGTTAAGTGCCGCTCTCGCTAAGAGCGGTCCTCTCGACTTCCCGTCGGAAAAAAAGTTTTCTTTTATTTTTTGCCCATGAAAAGGGTTTAGGGCACATGTTTCAAAAATAGTCTACTTGTTCTCCAATTCTCTTTTTTTGCGTCGCCACAAGTCAAAAATGATTTTTGGCCAGACCACCCCTGTGGACAGCGATCGAAAGTGTAAATTTCAAAGATTTTGTCCAGCGCGCAACGACTGCAACAATGTATCTAGTAAACATTTTAAAAGATAAAATTCTCATTAAAATGTAAAATTCTTCAGTCCATTTTAATAACTTTAGATTCTAATTCGTTACACTAACTAATTTTGGTTCCAACCTGTAGAACGCGCGAAACAGGTCATATGACAAAGAAAAGTTTGCACAATCACGTCACGCAACACATCAAGCTGGGTTTGTCCAATTGATTTTGATGGTCGCAGGAAAATGTCGCGAGTTTGTCACTCAAAACCGTTGTGGTCCGTAAGAACGTAACATCATTAATGATGGAAACAAATCTGCGGAAAGGAGGGTTAGTTCATCGGGGTTCCGTGAACTAATTCTCGGGAGAAACTGCAAGAATTGTTTCAGAGTGTATGCGTGTTGTTTTGTAAATATAAACACTGTAACCTATTTTAACTTGTTTTTGCGTCCTTTTCAGCAACGCGATATGTCTGTTATGACCAGAGTGCCAAAGTTTATTCTTTAAGTTTGATCTTCTCCACACTGTGCGTAGTTCATGACCTGATATTTCAACGTAAATTATCGAGAAGGCGCCTTCCCATCACCTTTGTCCACTTTGTAAGTCACGCAAGTGCGCAAGCGTTACGACCGATCACGTTTACGCAACGTTTTAGAACAACTCGGCATCTATTCTCCATTCAGTTGCTATGAAAACCTAAAATCCTCAATGCAGAAGATAAAAAACGAAGTTTGAACAGTCAAAAGGAGATCTTGGTCAATTTCCAGAATCATGTGAATGATCTTTGACACCAGCGCCATTGAGGAAACACATAGATTTGCGTTGTTTTTAAGAAGTTGGTGGATGGAAGCCAGAGATATACCCGCGGGTTTGAGGCAATCCGTGACCTCATTGGTGTATAAACTATGCACTGATATGCTTTTTCAGCCCGATTAACGCCTGCATTTTGAGAATTCTTTCGTACAAAGTAGTGAATTTTTGATATGCAAATTAAGGTCGAAGAGAAGGGTCTTCCCTGATCACGCTGGTATGAAAAATGTTTCAGCTGAAGTTTCCATATTTTGTCTGTGAACTAATTGAATACATCTTGTAACTTGTATTAAGATAGAATTCCGTGAGCTACATTGTTGCAGTCGCTGCGCGCTGGACAAAATCTTTGAAATTTACACTTTCGATCGCTGTCCAAATTGGACATGTGATTTCCTTTCAAAATGTATTTTGAATAAGAACTAAATGTATTTGAAAGCATTCCAAGTTTAATCATTAAAGTTAATTTAACAGTATCTTTTATTCACCTTTCATTTGTTGAGATTCCCAACGTAGCTTTTCTAATTTTCCTTTCCAATCAGAGGTGGAAGATTGACAAAGAGACCAGATGCCTAAAAACAAAGTTTTACAGAGAGAGTGGACCATTTCTACTGATAAATAGTTAGAAATAGGCATAACAACTTTTAGCTAAGGATAGAATGATTTAAAAAAGCTGATGAAAACATCCATTTGATATCCACTTATATATCTCATGTATTTTGTTTTAATTCCACAAACCAACTCAAATTACCTTTGACATAAGTAGAGAATGAGGCACAATCATATTTGGTATAATTCACATTATTGTACATTATTTACAGCTATATTAGTACTCAGGGTGTTACTTTTATCTGAGAGATGTTAGCACAGCAAACCAACATGTGACCATCTGCATAGAATGCATGAAATTTATCTAAGATACATCATCAATGTCAGTTTTTCAATACATAATTTATGATTCAGGTCAGAAAAACCTATATACTATAGTTCCTATACTCTTGAGACAATTGGTTCTATCATCAACAAAACCTGGACCCCTCTCTACATGTGTGTTAACCCTATGGTGCACCATGTTGAATGAGTGATGCATTGTGTTTTTAAGTGCCGCTCTCGCTAAGAGCGGTCCTCTCGACTTCCCGTCGGAAAAAAAGTTTTCTTTTATTTTTTGCCCATGAAAAGGGTTTAGGGCACATGTTTCAAAAATAGTCTACTTGTTCTCCAATTCTCTTTTTTTGCGTCGCCACAAGTCAAAAATGATTTTTGGCCAGACCACCCCTGTGGACAGCGATCGAAAGTGTAAATTTCAAAGATTTTGTCCAGCGCGCAACGACTGCTACAATGTATCTAGTAAACATTTTTAAAGATAAAATTCTCATTAAAATGTAAAATCTACCGTCCTTTTTAATAACTTTAGATTCTAATTCGTTACACTAACTAATTTTGGTTCCAACCTGTAGAACGCGCGAAACAGGTCTTATGACAAAGAAAAGTTTGCACAATCACGTCACGCAACACATCAAGCTGGGTTTGTCCAATTGATTTTGATGGTCGCAGGAAAATGTCGCGAGTTTGTCACTCAAAACCGTTGTGGTCCGTAAGAACGTAACATCATTAATGATGGAAACAAATCTGTGGAAAGGAGGGTTAGTTCATCGGGGTTCCGTGAATTAATTCTCGGGAGATACTGCAAGAATTGTTTCAGATTGTATGGGTGTTGTTTTGTAAATGTAAACACTCTAACCTATTTTAACCTGTTTTTGTGTCCTTTTGAGCGACGCGATATGTCTGTTATGACCAGAGTGTCAAATTTTATTCTTTAAGTTTGATCTTCTCCACACTACGTAGTTCATGAACTGATATTTCAACGTAAATTATCGAGAAGGCGCCTTCCGATCACCTTTGTCTACTTTGTAAGTCACGCAAGTGCGCAAGCGTTACGACCGATCACGTTTACGCAACGTTTTAGAACAACTCGGCATCTATTCTCCATTCAGTTGCTATGAAAACCTAAAATCCTCAACGTAGAAGATAAAGGAACGAAGTTTGAACAGTCAAAAGGAGATCTTGGTCAATTTCCAGAATCATGTAAATGATCTTTGACACCAGCGCCATTGAGCAAACACATAGATTTGCGTTGTTTTTAAGAAGTTGGTGGATGGAAGCCAGAGATATACCCGCGGGTTTGAGGTAATCCGTGACCTCATTGGTGTATAAACTATGCACTGATATGCTTTTTCAGCCCGATTAACGCCTGCATTTTGAGAATTCTTTCGTACAAAGTAGTGAATTTTTGATATGCAAATTAAGGTCGAAGAGAAGGGTCTTCCCTGATCACGCTGGTATGAAAAATATTTCAGCTGAAGTTTCCATATTTTGTCTGTGAACTAATTGAATACATCTTGTAACTTGTATCAAGATAGAATTCCGTGAGCTACATTGTTGCAGTCGCTGCGCGCTGGACAAAATCTTTAAAATTTACACTTTCGATCGCTGTCCACAGGGGTGGTCTGGCCAAAAATCATTTTTGACTTGTGGCGACGCAAAAAAAGAGAATTGGAGAACAACTAAACTATTTTTGAAACATGTGCCCTAAACCCTTTTCATGGGCAAAAAATAAAAGAAAACTTTTTTTCCGACGGGAAGTCGAGAGGACCGCTCTTAGCGAGAGCGGCACTTAATAACACAATGCATCACTCATACAACATGGTGCACCAATTGTATCAAAACATTTTTCCAAAGGACCAGGCCTCTTTTTTTTTTTTTCAACTGACCTCTGAGTGAATCCATCTCGAGAAAGAACAGTTTGCATGCATTGTACTCTTCTATGTCCATTGTTGTTTTCAGCTTCAGTTCTGCTAGGTTAAGTTCCCTCAAGATCTTCTCAGTCACAAAACAATCTTGAACCATCTTTTCCAAAAGGCCGCATGAGTAATCTTCCCATAACCCCTCCAAGCTCTTGAGAGAATCACACTTTACTGTTATCACCAAACTTCCCACAGAAGAACCTGCAAGGAGGACATTCATTTTTTGTAAGTATTCCTGAAACTTATTGTGTTCATCCATGCTCTGCGGTGGTGTAGCAGCAAGGTAATTCGCAGCAATTAAGCACAGGGTTTTCTCTTTGAGTTCTTGGAGATCCTCTAAATCTGTATCAGACTGTCTTTTCCTCTTTCTGCCTGAAGCTGTGGATGCCTTCTGATATCCTGTTGGCTCCAGTGCTGAAACTGAAGCTGCACTGTGTGCATCATGATCTACACATTTCACATGATCCACATCAACTTTGATATTTAATTTTGGATCTGTTGATTTAAAGCAAAGTGTCCAAGTTAAAATTGTTCTTCAGATCTACTTGAGCCATTAATATCATATTAAACTTCAAACATATTGTTAGCAGAAACAATTGTTAACCAGTAAATTGAATATTCAATGCAGAACATGTGAGCTTTGTCATTATTTCAAATTTTCTGCATTCCTAATGCAAGATGAGAAAACTTACCAAATGCAAGATTGTACATCTTTTTAACAAGGAAATTGCAAGACTTCTCCCAGTTGAACTTCTGCAAATATTTTTCACGAAGAATCTTAGCCTCTTCAAGTCGTACATTCCTTTTTCTGTCACGCACAGCTTTTATTGCACTGGCCCAGGCTGCAGGATCCTCTGAATTCACTATACACTGTGACCCAATAGGCACCTCCCTTAAGGCTTCTGCAATTCCTGTGTTACCACTGACAAGTACTGGAAGACCAGCAGATATGGCCTCAAGAGCGCTTAACCCGAATCCCTCAGTTTTTGAGGGCAATATAGCAATGTCCACTTCAGAGAATAAGTTTGCTAATGTTTCTCTGTTTTCATCGAAGCTGCAGATAATTAGCTGATCACGACCAATACCACACTGAAGTAACTTGTCTGCTAATTCATCTTCCTTTCCTCTCTGTTTGGAAGCAAACTTGAGTTGGTAAGATTTATCCTTTAGCTCAGCAACAGCTTTCGCTGCAATTCTGTACCCTTTAACATCAAAATCTTCACTATTACCATTCTCAGTTACCAAGACACAAAATTTTATCATTTCATCACTTGCTTGCTGCACATCTGAAAATTCCATGAAAATGCTTGGCGTCAGGTTAAAAACATCTTGTGTTCTGAGTTTGTGCTTATAAACATCAGTTAGCTTGGGGCCAATTGTAACAACTTGATCTGCCATTTCACATAATTCTATTTCTGTTTGCTGCATTTGTTGACCTTCAGAAATGATTTTGAACATGCCAGTTTCTTCAGGGGCAGTATGGACAACTTGAATCCATTTGCAATGATTGTAATTTGGATTTCTCTTTATGAGTTGAATTTGCCGACCAAGAGCTACTCCATGCCCTATAACACAATCCATAGCATGGCCTTCAGGTACAGAGGCTAGCCAATCAACTGGTTCAAAACCAGATAGTTCGACTGCTTCAATGAGTGTGACATTGTAACTGTCAGCATCTTTCTTGTCCTCTTCGCTACACTGAGGTAAGAAGACACTGACTTCCACATTGGGATGTTTAGCCATCTGTATTGCTAGCTCTCTGTTGATGGTTGTCAATTCTCCATTGCTTGAAGTTTTCCATTCTATACTCAAAAGGGTTATTCTCAGTTTTCTTTCCCCAGCATTGTTCTGTAAGTACAACATTTTTGTGATATAAGAAAATTCAATTAAAGGTGTATGAATATAAAAAACTCATTCATAAATTATTTTAATTTTGAAAGACACTTTATAATTTTCAATTTATTTGGCAATATTGCACAAAAAATGTTACACACAAGTTTTTCCTTGTCAGATATTCAGTGTTTGGTTTTGCATGACTAGGTAAACTTTAACTCATCCAATTCTAACCAACTGGTATAATCATTTATTATCTTAAAAAAAGTGTGAAACATGAGAGCAGGATCATATTTTTCCTCAGCTTTTATCATCCAAAAATAAAAACTTACCACAGTCATCAATGTGGACTCTTAATCTTGAACTGATGTGAACTTATTTTACTCTCCTATAAATATTTTTCCACATTGACCTCCTGCTCAGTAAATACCAGTAATATGTAGTTATAAAGTTTCATATCTGCAGGCAAGTAATTTGCTCCTGAAGTGAGAGAGTTGGCAGGAATGCACTGATAAAAGTGAAGTTTCCTTAAAATGAAATGACACTGGAGTGAACTAAACAACTTGGTTGCAGCTGTGATTTACAGAAGTAGTTGTTTGATATGCTACCTTTAATTGTTCAGACATCACAGGAACCTTTTATGTTCAATGGGAAGTTGCTAAAATAAAAATCACAAGAAAATGAATTACTTTCATTACTTATTCAGAAAAAAATGTGTTAAATTACTTACTGTAGACCACCGTATTAAATGACCACTGGAAATTACTGCTGCTGGCATGTAATCATATTGTCTTTTTGATCAAGTGAAATTTCTTCCTTCTGATTAGCAAAGAGAAATTAAGTTTTCATGTAACAATGCAGAGGAGAGGAGATTTTTGTTATGGATTCTAGAATAAATAAGTACTCCTAAATTTTTTCAGACTACAAATTGCATCTGCCCTACTACAAAATTTTTTGCAAGGGACATCCGCGAAGACTTTTCACTTTTAGGTTCTCGTGATTCCAATTATTATTATAATACACATTACCGTAAATAGATTTAATTATTAGTATCCAATTTTGTAAATTGCACTGTTTATTCAGTTTTTAACTGCCAAGAGTGTTAATAAACTATTATTTATTTATTTATCTATTTAGGACGTTATACCCTAAAGATCACGACAATGTGATATGATTTGTAATTATGATTCAGTCAACTGTTCGTCTCTATTTCTAAAAGATGTTTAGAAATAGAGGTGATGAGTTGCTTTCAGATATTTACCAACATTTTTCATTTCAGCAAGAATTTTAGGCATCATGTATAACAAGTTAACATGAGTTGGCTTACCAAGACTTTAGTTGGTATGTTAGTGGAAGTGAAGGTCTTGTATCTATTCCCTTCAGTGTCTGTCTGGAGCCACAGTTCGCTGTGCAGATGATCTGAAATCACTTCATAGGAGCTGAAACTATTACTTATAGAAAAATTAAACTAGTGAAACACCGCTAAAACTTAGTAATAGTAGTATTTCACATCGATTTCCGCATCGGTTTAACTGGTTCATTTACTATCACGTGACAGCATTGGCGGGACGAAAAACTCCCCTACCGCAGCGTAGGTACGTTGCAGCTGGTTGAATGCAGGCTCGTTCATTTAAGCGGGAACGAAAATCTGGGTTAGGAGGCAAATCTGTGAACGGATGTTGGTATGGTCCAAGGAAGAAAAATTCTTGTGACTGGAGGAGGAGGATATTTTGGCCACAAGCTGGGGAATGAGCTGAAGAAGTTGGGAGCAGTGGTTGTATTGTTTGACATCTCGTGGCCGTTGGATGATGTTGTGTACGAGCAAATGGAGTGTTTTCAGGTAGAGACTTGATCGGTTAATTACGTAATTCACTTTGGAATATTTTACCAATTAAAACAACTCCATTCGGATCTTGCCTTTGTGCTACGCACAGACGAAAATATTAAATTTTACCATGGGGAAAATACGTGGAAGTTATTTGAATTTGCTGTGTCAGACACCCGGTCGCAGGAAGTATTTCCTAAAAGTTGGACACCTGACATTCTAGAATTATCCTATAATTTCCACTTCACCTTGCGAATGATTATGTGATATCACGATTTAAGTGAATTTTTTTTCTAAAAACTTATGATAAAGTTAAGTTTCATTTTATGTCATAAGATTCATATTTATGTTTTAGGGGGATATAACAAGTAAAGAAGATGTAAGAAAGATATTTATCAGTCATCAGATTGATGTGGTTTTTCATAGTGCATCATATGGAATGTCTGGAAGAGAGCAAGTTAGTATGTTGTACTTATTGAGTGAATGGTAGGGCCAGACAAAAATACATTTGCCTCTGGGTTGTGGATTCAAAGATGTGTAGAACTCTGTCTCTGTGCTTGTTTCAAATGTCACAATTTAGAGATAAATGTTTCTCTGTCTACTCTGTCTACTCTGTCTGCTCTGTCAGCACTGTCTTTCTCTAGTCCAACCCTACTCAGTCAAAACTGATTCTTTTAGACTGAAATCCTGTGCAGTGGATGTACCAATACTGCTTGTTGCCTTTGCTCCTTAACTGGAATAAGCTGCGACATGATTGTTCATTGGGTAGCAAGCTGTCCTTCACCTTAAATCCTGTTGATATTGGTATCCATATTCTCCATACTGTTCCCTAAACATATCCCATGGCACTGACAAAGAGAATCTGTTTAACAATCAAAGTATTTGTAATCTGGTGATCATTTCTTTTATTCTAATGATCCTATTGTTTGACTCAGGGATGATACTGTTAGGAGAATTTAGATGCCAGTCATGTTAAGGGATTAAAGGGTGTTTCTCAGTTGGACTGTTCTTGGGCATGGTCCACATTGAGATGGCCATGGTAGAAATCATCTGGAACTGGAATGGGACTTCCACTCTTTAACTGGTGATGTGTTTGCAACTCAGACTCTTGTGGCATCTGGCTGTAAATTATCATGAAAGACAGTCGATCAAGATAAAATGAAGGAAAGATATGGGATCAATTTTAAAATTGAACTGTGATTTATTTTAAATTACGTGTGTTATTTTCAGTTACGTAGAGAACAAATAGAGAAGGTCAATATTCTAGGAACAAAAAATGTCATTGAAGGTCTGTAAATTCAGTAGCATGTAAAACTTGGCCTGAAATTTAAGTTTACTAACAAATTTTTTTGATTTTGAATTATTCTTTGATTCTCCTAAAACAAACGAAACCATTCTTAATGAAATTGTTTAATCATTCTTTCAAGCCTGTCGTCAGCATAATGTGGCTCATCTCGTCTATACAAGTACATATAATGTGGTGTTTGGAGGACAGGTTATCAGAAATGGAGATGAGACTTTGCCATATTTACCACTAGAAAAGGTAATTATTCTATAATGTATTTGTTGTCTTTTGAGTTAAGCTTGAAACATTCACATATACATATAGTAGTCCATTTGGTATAAAGAAACATGAACCAAACCAGAAAGAAAACTCTCTGGAGTATGCAACTTTGCTTTAAAGACAACTAATTTTTGTGCAAAAATTCAAAGTCTGCTTATTCCTATTTTGACAGTCCATTTACATGATACACATGCATGATTTTGATGGTCCATTTACATGATACACATGCTAACAAGTGAGAGATCTCTTTTAAGTAGAGTTTCAACTCCTTTATCTAAGTTATCCTATTTCCGAAAATGTTGCAAGCATGTTCCATGTACTTCTTGAGATTACTGAAGAAGTTCTGAATAAAGATGTGTGAGGTTGGTAAATTGCAACCAAAAAAAAGGCATACAAAAATAAAATAGAAAATTTTGTGTACAGAGAAAACTGGAAGTTGATAATTTTCTTTCAATATCAATTTTTGCTGAGAGTGGGGGGAAAAAGTAGTCATGGATTAATAAGTTATACTTTTGGTCAAGTATGAGAAATTTTCTCTTTTGACTTTTGTCAGCATCCTGACCATTATTCCAGAACAAAGTCCATCGCAGAGCAAACTGTTTTGAATGCTAATGGTTTACTATTAAAAGGTGAGATTTTTATATCAACATTGCCTTATTGAGTAAAACATCCTTCAATTTCTAGTAAATATTTGCCTGGATTTTTAGAGATAAATTCAGAGCAGCTTAGTTTTTTATATGATACAGATATTGAGGTATATTGTAAAGATGATAACCATGAAGTGTAAAATGTTTATTAGGAATTCCCATATAAGTTTCCCATTGGACTTCTCCTCCTGGGCACTTTATAGCTGCTGTAGGTGACCTGAGATTGAGAGTTGGTCTTGCATTCTGAGAGCATCAACTTTACAGTTTTAGGTGCCTCTGGGAAACAAAATGCATGGAATTGTGTCCACATTTCGTGGACTGTTATTAAGTACCTATTTTTTTCACATGTTGCTATATTAATTCAAATGTTTTATGGCAATGAAATGATGAGGCCTCAGATGAAACAAGTTTTGTAATTTGCATACAGAACATAAAAATAAGGGTTTCAAAAAGTTAAAAAAAGAACCTAGGCATTAAATGGAATGTAGAATAGATAAGTTAAAGTTTATCTTCAGTTTGTCTGGTGACTGTTTGTTGAGGTTTATTTTTTATTTTTAAACCATAGTAATTCCCCTCTTCCATAGCAACACTGTAATTTCATAAATATATACCAACCTTTTAAAAAACATCCATCACTTTTAGTCCAAATTACAATTTTGACTAACACATTCCTCTTATTAAACTGAAGGAAACATGATTGTAAGTCTTTTACACCAAAAAAAACTTGGCTTGCTGTCTAGTAAATACCAAAATTCATCTATTTGTAAAAAATTGTTAACCCACTTGCAATTCATTTCATTGCCTGGAAATTATTGACAGATGGGAAAATTCTCAAGACCTGTGCTTTAAGACCAGCTGGTATCTACGGAGAAGGAGAATTGAGACATTTACCCAGAATTGTGGTGAGCTTAATGTAAAATTCTATTTTATTTTCTTTGGCTCTAGAATATTACTACTGATACATTTTTGCAAAATAAAGCTTTAAGTGGCCCATAGTGCTGGAGATTTTCTTAGCGTGTGTAAATTTGATGATTTGAAAAGAACTGCTACTTCCAAGGTAAAATGGTGTGCAATGTAATCTCAGCAATTTTGTCAATAGGGCACCCTTCCTGTGTGGATAGAGCGGTACTTGTGAAAGTTAATTGATCTGCAACAATAAACCTTAACATGAAAGGGAGTGTGAGTTGTCACAGTGTTGATGCTTAGGAAAACACAGCTAGATAATAAAATGAACCTCCAATATTTTGTAAATAACATGTGTTAACTGTCTTTAATGGTGCCAGACTTCGTTGAATTACAGCAGAGTGTGTAGGGGTAGGCTCGATGAAATTGTGAAAAATTGGCCATTGAGGTTCCAAGACAGCACAAACTATGTTGATTTCACTTTGTTGTTTGCAGAAAACCGTTAGGAAGTGTACATAGTTTTGAATGCAGATATTTATGCAGAGCTATTAATCTGTCCAATGTAAAATCTTTTGTTCACACTTGTTGCTGTTGTTATACTAGTTTTCTTCAAGTCTGTAATCCTTTTACTCCTAAGATCTCATTATTGAGTAATTGTCTCTACTGTCTGCCTTTCAAATGCTATGATGTTACTTCAAGGAGCTTGGTTTTGGATCAACTAATAATCCCTTAATTGACTGTTTCTTTATTCTTATAACTTTTCATCCTCTGACACCAAGAGTGCTGTCAGTCAACTTGCACCAGAGCTTGATCTTCAGCCCTGATGAGATTCACATCTTTTGTATTTGTCTGTTTTCAGTCATATATTGAGAGAGGCCTTTTTGCCTTCACTTATGGTCAAGATGACTCTATTGTTGACTTTGTTCATGTAAATAATTTGGTTCAAGCTCACATTTTGGCAGGAAAAACTCTCATGGAGGCAGATTCCATAGCTGTAAGTAAGGAATACCTAAATTATGTAACAACAGAATTATTGATGTCAAAGAACCAAGAGTTGAAGTTTAAGGATAATTTTGGTGGCATGTTTTTCATACAATTAATTTCCTAAAATATATTTTTATTATTTTAATATTTGATGGACCATTCTTATTTTTTTGAATGGGTTATATTTCAGGCTGGTGAAGCATATTTTATTTCAGATGACTCCCCTGTAAACAATTTTGAGTTCTTCAGACCTTTGGTAAGTCAAATTTTCTCTAAGTGAATATCTATAAAATTATTCCTTGATGAAGAAGTATTGTAGTTATTGAACCTTAAAACAAGCAAGCAAGCAGTTACATATTAAGCAGTGTAAGCCCATTCTCTTCTGGCCTTATAGTTTTGTCTTTCTCCTTTACTTGTCTGAGTAGGTTAAAGTTTGGAATTCAGATTTAAGATTTGGTAAAATTTCCTTTTCCTCTCTTTCATTTTCATTTATCCTCTCTCCTTTGTCTTAGTCAAACAAATCAAAGAAATATTAAGGAAAAGAAATTAAAATTAGGAAAGATAGCTTAACTCTAAAGAAATAATGTATGCCTCAGGTCCTAAACTGTCTCTTGGAATCATCACAATTTGATATTTTCTATTTTCTGACTTAAATGTTTTTTAACAATTTTTCAAATAGGTTGAAGGTTTGGGATACAAATTTCCCAAATTAAAGTTGCCAATAACTCTTGTATATATGGTTGGTAAGTTAAATTTATTTATTTTCATCTTTCAGTTATTCATGTCTAGATTCATATTAATGAGATGAATACTCACATGTTTATCTTTCTTCTATCCTTTCTTTTGTTGTTCAGTGCATTAATCTGTCCGCTTTAGCTTATTTAATTAATCAATACTAATTTATTAATTCATTCATTTATATGATGTTGTCCAGTTATCATATAATGATTTTTTGATGTGTATGACTTACAGTTATTTTCAGTTTTTCTTAAGTCCTTGGTAGTTTGTATTTGTATTATTTGGTAAGAGGATATTTAATTATCTGAGTATTTCTATCATTCTATTTGTGAGTGACAAAGTGGGCTTCTACCTGGCAGTTTTTCTTGTTTTATTACTGACCTAAGGCTTGTGATTGCATGCAGACCAAATTGGATTTCAAGTGGCCCAATTTCCATTATATGCCAGTTAGCTCTACAAAACTAGCATATTTTTCACTACTTTTATCTACCAAGATTAATTAAAGAGTATAAAGTTGGATTATGATTGATCAAAGATTTATTGAGATAGTCAGAGAACACAAACTCCTTTAAGAGAGATTTTCTGTTTGTAGCATTTTTAACAGAACTGGTTCACTCAGTGATTGGAAGATATATTTATAACTTTCAGCCGCTCCTCACAAGAACAGAGGTACTATTCATCAGCAAACTCACATAATCATAATCTTGCATAGACATGGGAAACTACATGAAAATAGGGAAATAAGTAGCATTGATTGTATGCCATCTTAACAGTCAAATGGGAATTGTGTCAAAACGATAGAAGTGTCTAAGGACTAATAAGTCCTGACAAAATCAAAGCATTATCCAGTAAAGATATGATGAGGTTAGACAAACACTTCTGTTCATCAGGTTATGTAGACTTAACACCAAAATCTTTCTCTCTTTCCAAGAAAAAATGTAGGATAGGTAGAATCTAGGAGAACTCTGGGTCTGATCTGGGGATTTTAGGGGTGGAGTAACACCAAAACACAGGTGACTTTTCGTGGCATGTCTGTAAAGTAGCTAATTAGTTAAGAACATTTGACCACGTTAAATAAAGGTTATTGTATTGTTTTAATTATTTCCAATGACTTTCCAGCTCTTAAACCCATCAACATATGAATTCACCATTTTCTTTTCTCAGTTAGTGTAAAAGTTTGTTAAAGATCAGTTCAATTTCTGTTTTACAATCAGCTCCTTGATTCTTCAGACCATTGGTGTTGACAGTGTGCTGATGGTGTGGCGAGAAATGAAATGCTGATCACTTCTTTTCTTCTTTTGGCACAGGTTTACAAGACAGCAGTCACTCATTACTTTAGCATGAAGAAAGCCCGCAGTCATCTTGGTTACAGTCCTCAGAAATATTCCCTTGAAGGAGTGATAGAACATTTCAAAAAAAATGGCCATGGAAGAAACAGGCATCCCTCACGTCTCCTTTATCACATAGTTAACATTGTTGTAGGAATTATGTTTGCATGTTTACTTCTAGCCTGGTTACCCAGAGTAGATACTTATATAATCAATTCTTATTATCTTACTACTTTTTGAGGTTGATGTAAGCTCTTTTGGAAATTCAAATGTCTGAAATAGTAATAATAATACAAATAATGGAAAAATTTTGGATTGCGAGTTCCTGTTCATCACCAATGGGTGGAGTACTTTGTGAATTACAGAATAATTAGCAGACTCTGTGATAGCTTGTAGGAAAGCCCTGATATCCCTTTCCATCATTTCTCATCCTTTTCTTTTAAATAACTTAACTTCTAATATAAACTATAACTTGTAATCATCTAGCTAACTTTACTATAAATTATAACTGCAAAAAATAATTTGAAAAAAGCATCCATTTGGCTTGTGGCTGGGTGAAGTGTTCCCCCAAAGATGACTATTTTCAGTTATTATTCACCAACAAGCACCTTTAGACAATCTTAATGGCATCCTATTTTCCTTTGATGTCTGTAGTGGAATTTTTATTGGTGAATAATAAGGGCGTACCCAGGAACACATAAATAGCACCAGAATTTGATTAAACATTAAGAAATGGTCAGTCAATGGAAACCATTAATTCAAGAATGATGATCCAGGATAAAAGTCAGTCACTGATATAAAATTTGATACCAAATTTTTCTCTTCTTGAAAAGGTGAACAAGATCTTTCATCAAGAGATGGTCTAATGAAAAAAAAAAATGAAGATCATTTTAGAGTCAACAAAGGGATCAGAATTAGGTTGGGATCATATTCCACCTTTTGTTATGGACCTGTTTTATTGCTTTTTTCTTTTTAGTTTTTTTTTTTTTCACTTTTATGGGCTCTTCTCCCAAACCAGGCTGCTTCCTTTCCTAGATGTAACTAAGAACAAAAGGTACACACATCCTTCCTGGATGGGAGCCTTTTCGCTGCTTGGGGGATTTGATCTAGGCTTTTCCCAGTTTCTTTATCGTGTACTTTCCGCTTTTTGTTCTGCACTTCTCCCAGTGGTGTTCGATCTGGCTGAGGTCCAGCTTTGGTCCAGCTTTGATCCTGCTTTGATTTTATTTTAAGTGATTTTTTCACCCCGGCATTCTCCTTGTCCGACACGTTGTCGCCTGTTGAAATAGTTAAACAATCATTAAATTAGAGTCGCTCAACTTATTCATTTTCTGCTACCTAAAGCAGAATATTGCATATATTTCAATTTTAAACGAAAAACTCGAACCTTTGGTGTTGTTCATCAAATATTTTTTCACTAAAATTTTCTTTTCACCTTAGTGCATACAAGACTACAAGAAAATTTTTTGTCAGTCTTAAACTTAATTACTTTCTATCTTTGTCTGCATCGTCATAGAAAAATTGAAACAATGGCTACAATAACTTATAAATCAAACGAAAATTGAAACACTATGCGAAAACTATTGAATGAAATGCATTAATAATCTAGTTACTGGTATCCGCATTACCACAACGACTTAGATTCTTGACCAGAGTTATGAATTTTTCTGTCTCTTTCTTCCAGCCGTAAACTTCCCGGTAATTCTCCCGAAGGTGAAGAGCCTTTCCGTGTCTCTCTTGAGAGGTTTGGGAGGACAACTCGGTAATCTTCTTTGCCCACTCGTGTGGCTCAGTAGATGCCACAATTACATCACTTCCACCCTTCACCTTACCAAGTGATACAGAAATTCCGGCCTGACTTGATATAAGGACTGGTTTCCTGGCTGAAATCGCTTCAAGAGCGATCAAACCGAACCCCTCAGCGCGAGACGGCAAAGCCACCAAATCTGCCTCCTGGAACATTTCTTTTAGTTTTGTTTGGTCGCAGTACCGACGGATTGTGAGTTGTTCGTCAGTGATTTTCGTATTTTTAAGGAACCAACTACGAAAACCTTTTTGTTCACCTGCCGGGGAGCCCACACATATCAATTGGAACCTCCTTTCCAAAAGAGCCACTGCATTAGCAATAATATCTAGGCCTTTAACGTAAAGATCCTCCATCTTTAACCGCCCGAGGATGAAGACTTTGAATTCCTTCTCTTTTGAGCTTTCGTCATCAGAAAGTAGCCGAGATGAACAATGCTTAGACGGGCTAAAATTTTCGAAAGTTCCTGGTGTTATCGTTTCAACACTGATATCGGGGAGAAACGATTTATACTTTTCACGTAGCATTCTACCGACGCAAATTACCTTGTGTGCTTCTTTGCATAGGTTCAATTCATTATTGTGTTTATTTTCGTTATCATCGATAGTGTCTGTTACCCCTTCTGCCTCTTCTTTGTGTTTTCCTAGATCTTCACAATTTACGTGAATAAATTGCACCCACCCACAGCTGGTGAAGTGCGCTATAAAATAAGCGGCCACACCGAATTTTCGTCCATTACCAACCACGACATCAACATCAACTCCTAGAGGAGGAATCTTCAAGCTATCCATTGGATCTGTAGATCCGGGGACTCTTTTTGCAGTTATTAAATTCACATTGTTGTTTCGTGCATCCTCTCTGTCCTGATCACTGCTTCCGAATACGTAGCAATAAACATTGACGATGAAACTCCAAAATTTAGCTAAATGAATGGCGAACTCTCGGTTAAAAGTAGATATGCCACCGCGAGACGATTTCCATTCGTCGCACAGAAATACCACATTAATGCGATCCGGTTCTGATTTTTGCTGTTGTTTATCGCACATGTTTGATGTAAATCGAGAGTCCTTTTCTACTTTTCCGTACGTTATGTACAACAGAGTTCTTGCTAGGCCTGTTGTAAAGTGAATCAAATTCAAATTTCCCTCTCCTTTGATATGACGCCACCAACAATCTAAAGCGCATGTCCGTTGTCTATATTTAGACAAGAATTGTTCCATATTTGGTAGGACTTCAGCCATGGTTAATACATTTTTCTCGCGTCTATATTTGAATGTACAGTACTTTCTTCCCGACCGACATTCCCTGATTTGTCGAAGGAATAGACGGACATTAAAGAGAGAAATTAAGGAGGAGGAGAGGAGCCGGAAAGACTACCATAATACCGTTCTGTTGGCCTGTTCATATCAGCAACCTCGTTTGATCGTGTTGTTGATTGCTATGTATAGCCTATTCGTCATTTAAGTACATCAATAAACACAAAAGTTTCTTCCGTTTACCGATCCTTTTTTTATGGCCTCAACGCAATTAGGTCATCAGCTTTTTGGGCGAATATTAGCTGCCTTACCACCGAAAGGAAAGTTATTTGAAAGATTTTTTCTAACCTGCATGTTGAACACATCATTTTGTCAGACAAGAACAGGGTTTCGATTACATGACTTCATGACTTTCCATTAGATTTTCTAGGAGTCATATAGCTTTCCACGGCGGACAATTGAGAAGTTTGGGTTAAAGTAACTCCTAAACTTTCCGGAACTAACATTCAAATTCCTTGGATTGATAGGCCTGGAAGATGACATGGTAGATCGAGGGTTATGGATAAAAACAAGCTTAAAACTGTGAATTAACACAGCCAGCCAATGTTAGCAGCGACCCCGCACGTAGCGCTGAAACTCGACAAGTAGCGCCGGCAACGGGTGTAAACCAGAACAGGTTTCTCTTGCAAGTGATGTTTAATCTGAAACTACTTTATATCAAGCGCGCTAACAGACACGCAGGCAACGTAGTACTTTACTGAATATCGTTTGTTCTGTGTTGTGGTCAAAAATTGATAAACATAAACTCTTGCTATTGTATGGATTGTTCTCACTGTTATGTAAGTAGTTCTGAAAATACTCTCGTCTGTTTCGATATGTTCCGATCGCTACTCTGTACTCAGATCACATCAACACATTTAGAAAATATATACTAGATATGTGGATCGAACTGACTTTTTTGTGGAACGAACTAACTATTTTGTGAAACGATCTGACATGAAACGAAATGACCGGTTACCCTATGACTTTCCAAGATTTCGTTAATGAGCAAGACTACTTTAACCCAACAAAATGTAACATAGGCTATATCCCCAATAAACTGGGTTTAGCCTCAAATCATGTATAAGGTATCATCTCATAAAAAAAGTACGAGAAAATCATCTTTTACTTTTCTGGACATTTCAACAACAATTCCAATCACTGTAAGAGACAGTGTTGAGTTCACTGCAATGTTTATTTGTCATCCTTACAATTACTTAATTACATAGCTCTTTATCATGTTTTGACACATACAACTATAAATTAACACCATTCACAAAACAACCAAACTGAGAGAAGAGAAGGATATGATCTTGTTACACTAGGCAACTCTCAACCCATTACAGCCTAACATCAATATGCATATTCCCCTCTCTGTTCCCTATACCTTTCCTAGGGTGCTGACAAAGAGAATTGATATAACAATCAAGAGCCTCTTCAGTTGATGATCATTTTCTTCATTCTTGTGACCATGATGTATTACTTAAGGGGCCATATTGTTATGAGAAATTATATGCTCATCACTCTTAGGGGTTAAAGGGTTAGGTAAAACACTGTTTCAAAAGACAAACTGATAAAGGTTCTCAACTCACTTTCCATAAATTCAAAATCATAGTCCAGGTATTTTATTCCTTTCAATGACTACAATTACACAAGTTTTTATAGCTTGATCTAGAGTAACTTTAAATTGTTATCAACATTTGCAGAAATTTTCTTCCTTTCAATTTAATAAGGCAAATTTTCCTATGATGAAAGATAATTTTAAAAATTGCCTGTTGATTGAGCTCCAACTTTTTAAAGCAAACAGAACTTTAATGTACAGAAGAATGGTGTCGAAAATCCTCAACAGGCAAACATAATCAAGACTGGCAATGACTTGCAGTGTATCCAACTGAAAATATTATTAGCCTGAGGTGAGATATGTTAATAACTTAACCATGCTAAGATATATTGCATCTAAACTCACCACTGCAGTATCATGACCTCCTGCAAGTAGACTAATGTATACACATTTTAGTTTATTTACCACTCACATAATCATCTTATCTGTTACACTGCTACATTTTTACAATCTGTAGTTGACCACTAACTCTATTACACCACTAAAGAAACAAAGCTGTTATACTGCTGGATGTTTCTCTTGAGGATGTCGATACAGGGACCTAGCACTCGTTCAAAGCGCTGCCTGTCAAGTTTGACACATTTAAGGGTTCCTTTTGCCCGCACTGTTGCAGCACGTGGACGATTAAGAACCAGGGCAATTTCACCTGCAATAAAAAGATGTGTACATAAGAATTAAAAAGTATTGTAGGATGATCTGAGATACAGTGGGCTAGTACTCAAATAGCAAGTCTGAGTTTGACCATGGCCAAGTCACAGCATTGTGTTCTTGGGCTACAACATTGCACTGGCAATGCATTTTGCAACCAATAAGTAAAATAGGCACCAGCAAACTGTGCTGGTGCACAAAACCCCTTACACCCTACAGACTCTTCTCTACATATCTTGAACATGTTTAATAATCAAGAGCTTCTTAAGCTACAAGCATTTCCTTCATTCTTTTGATCCCTATGTTTGATTATGTAGTAATTATGTACAAAGAAATTAGATGCTAGTCAATCTTTGGATTTTGAGGGTTAAGCCCTCTCACAATGTGCATTCTGACTTAAAAGGGACTCACATCGCATCCAAGCGAAAAATTGTATTAGAATTTACAACCTTTCAAGTACAAGATTTATTCAAATGGTACACCTCAAACCTCATGATTATATCATTCTTGACTCTCTCTCTCTCCCTCTCCTCAATCAAAAATTAATAATCAGTGCATCATAACTATCAGCTCAGTTGTCAATCTAAACATTTGACTTCCTAAATTATTCAATTAAGTACTGCTCTCACCAAAGTAGTCTGATTGTCCTAGCCGGCTGACCTCTATATAATCTTCATTTGGTGACCTCCGCTGCAAAACCACAGCTACCCCCTGGAGGAAAAAAAACAAAAGAAACAAAATTACAGATAATTGTTTCCTTCTCTCCAAAACGCAAGATTTATTTAATACATTGTATGCCTTATGAGCATTTCGTAAGTTCATCTGTTAACTAGTTGTTTTTCTGTGCTGTTTCATTACCAATTGGAAATCTTAAAATTAAAATTCAAGGTGCAAGTGCATTGTAATTGCATCATACTAATCAATTACATTATACTAATCAATCGACAAAGTGATTTTCAGCTTTTGTTGCCATACCTCGAATTGTAACTACCATAATTCACTCTAAATTTCATATTTTATCATTCATTTAGTTATTCACCCATTCAGTAAGTTTCAGATATAGTCATATTCACATTTGTGTTATTTTTTTGCCTAGGCACTCTTTTTTAATAAGTATCATTATTCCTCTTGGCACCTTGTGAATGATTAATTGATTTATTACTGGGTCATGACTTTTACACAAAGAAAGGTATGTCTTCCATTTAGTTCTATGAGCTATCACAATGAAAAACAGAGACTGATCTAACTGTTGTTGAGACTAAACTATAAAAAAACAAGTGGCTTAAAAGAAAATCAGTGTATTGTAAATACTAAAGATAATTCTTACATCAACAATGATGTAAAATTCATCCCCATGCTCTCCTTGGACTACAACATTTTCATTATCCTCATAAGTAACAGCTTCCAGTGCATCAGCCACTGTGAGACGTTCCCATTTATCAAGGGATTCAAGGATACTGACTTTCTCCAGGAACTGTTCATACATTTTTCTCTTACGGATCTGGCTACCCATCAATATACGACGGTAAGTAACTCGGTCAATGGCCCAAAGCTTCACATCAGTTCGTGACTAGGAGGCAGAAACAAAAAGAAGAAGATGTGATTTTCAAGCAGCCAACATCAGCCAGAGCCCTAAATCCATTGCAATGTAAACTGCAGAGCTATTAGTGACCATGGTTTTGGACTACAAAGTGGTTACTTTCCTGTAACATTCCTACTTTTCTTCACACCAAAAATATTGAAAGAAAACATTAGTAAGACCTCATGCATCATAGGGTAGAAAAAAACAAAACTTAAAGAAATTGGAATTTAAATTGATTGGAGGAGCTTTTCTTAACAGTGAGTAATATAAGCCGAGGCACAGATTTGCAATACAAGCCAGCAAGCTAAAATGGTTGGTAGAATAAAGGAATTTTTTATGCCTAGCTAAGCTAAGGGTAAAAGTTCACAGGTATCTATCATGATTTCATCCTCAATTGTTTTAATTTTCAACATGGTTATTTGCTATTAAACAAGTAGTCTGCTCAGTAACCCTAATACCTCTATAGCTGTGAAAACCAACCAAATAACAAAAACAGTCAATCCAGTTTTCTTACCTTTATGGTAGCTGCTCTTGGTGTTCCATAAATCAAGGCTAGTTCACCAAAACTGCCTCCTTCACCAATGGTAGACACATACTCATCACTAACAAACACCTATAAAAAGCAAATAAAGAAATCATAATTAGTTCTGAGCATTTCTGGGATTACCCTGTTCAGTAGTTCTGCATTACCGATGATCAAACCCCACTTTCCTTGAGAATTTGAAAGCTGCACTGCAGGGTATAAAACACGAGTATCCATATTGTAGACTAAAGTAGAAATCTATCAACAAATGTTGTCACATGAAGTCTGTCACTTGATGTTCCTTGTTTCATCCCTTAGCACTTTAAAATGTTGTTCATAACCATCAAAAATCGTACATTTCACATTTTGTTGGTTGGTCATTCTTGTCACTTTTTTCTTGTAATTTTTTTCCTTTTTTTCTAAGGAAGATCTTGACTGGCTGACGGTAAACAATCAGAAAAGCTATCCCTGGGCATAATTTACGGATACTTAATCCTTCCCAAGTTAATAAACAAACAATGTTCATGAAACATATTGCTGAGAGATGTCTTCGATTTTAAGTCCTCAAGATAAAATACACATTTAAAACGTGGTATCCGATTTCGTGAGCGATAAAACGAGGCCGGCAAAAGTTTGGAGAATTTTTGAGAGTCCTTGTAATGTGGTAATGTGTTTAGGTGACTGTTCAACATTATGTAAATAGCCAACAAGAACATTTACATCGACTTCACCGCTGTCAATGATGTAAAAGTTATCGCCCTCGTCCCCTGAAACAGCACAAAGATAAATGTCATGGCCTTGAAACTTCAAATGTAGAGTTACATATTACTTTGAGCAAGGAGTGGGAGATTACTCAAACAATATCGCCGCTTTTTAGTAGAAAAAAATCTCATTAACCTCGTTAAGCTTGAGAAAATTTTGATCCACGCTGTAGAAAAAAAGGGTACGACAGCAATCGCACAGCTCTAATTATACAAACAGTCCTAGTCTACAGGCAGAAAGACAACTTCTTACATAAAATGAGAGAGTATATTTAGAGGATCCGAGTATACCAGTTTAAATTTGAGAAATCAAAGCGTATTCATCCCTTACCTTGCTGAATTACAATCTCGCCTGCACTGTGTTTAACCAAAGACATAGCATCGAAAATATCGCTGAAGGAAAAACAACATTGATTTACGATCTGAACCTAAAAATTTTCTTAAATCGAAAAGCAACACTCCCATTTGAAATGCATCCTTCCCGCTTACCTTCTTTCATTTTCGTCCAGGTGAGAAAACAGAATATTTTTCGCGATCGCCTTCGACAGGGCGGCCATGGTTTTGTAGTCTTTCGGTACGACCTATATCAAAATATAACCAAGAAAGGGCCGCGTCAGTTGTCGCGATTCTCACCGAGACTAGTCCTCTACCTCACCAATCTTTAAGACCTTTCAATCATATTACCTTTTTCACATAGGACGTAGCTTCATCTTCGGTAATAGGTCCAGCACTAACAGCTCCGCGGCGTTTTCTGGAGACGCCAACAGGACCTGGAAGATCTTCAATTTCTAGTTTTTCTTCGGGTTCGCCGCGTTCCTGCGGCTCTGCTTCGTGCTCCTGGAAAATAATTTCAAGAGACGTTGTTCAATCATGAAGCAAAATTACTCGTCAGATTGAATTACACGCCGAAAATCGTAGAAGAAACTCGGCATAAAAAAATAACAAAACAGTAGAACAAAGCTTCGACGTGGAGCTAAATAAAATCACCTTTTCGAGCTTTTCAAAATACTCCCGAAAAAACTTGTGAGGGTTGTCTGGCTTCTTGATACATAACTGCACGATGCAGTCCTTAAGAATAGCTTGGATATTATATTTTTCCACATAGACTTCGCACTGCTTGAGCGCTTCAGCATCACCATCCTGCCTTTTAGACGCCATTTTGCTCGCAAATGTCGATCGGAGAAGAACTGACGTGACGTCACAGCTACTTAACCAATATCAGCCATGCTGTGACGTCAATGTGACGTCGAAAACGAAATGCGTGGGTATAAGGAGTCAAATACTTAGATCGACAATTAAACCACGAGACGGTTCTACAGGGCAACCCTTCACCAAAATTTCACAACAAGCCTTTTTTTGGGCGCCATAGGTAGCGCTAACTTAACAGAAAGTGGAAAATTGAATTGCACATATAATGAATTCAAGTCGCTTAAATTCTACTTTTAGAGGAATTGCGATGCAATGCGAACCGGTTCCAAATTCAGAATAAAGAAAATAATAGGGCGCTTTATCGCCCCCGCATTCTCGCAATAATTCATTTTTAATATGTGGCAATATAAACCTCTAGTACCTATTTACGTCGATCTATTACGTCTGTTTACACAGTTTTGTCTCATTTTATTCGATGTAATTCAAATTCGGGTTAATTTTACTCACGTCCATCTTTTTTTACCAGGAGCACCGAGCTACGGATTGTATACCTCATTTTACGATTTTCTTCCTTCATCAACGTTAACACGTTACATTTTTCCTTGAATGGTGTAATTTTTTTTAGGAACATCATTTTTTTTTGTCGTAATAAAAGGTGTCCTAAAATGTACCAACTCGGCCATAGTCGTAAAGATAATGAAAATAATTAAAACCGTTTTTATTTTCCTTACACGATTTCACCTGTACATCGGTGAAGCTTATTTTCATTATTCTTTCTCTGTCAGTCATTCATTCAGTTTTGGTGAACTAAGAGACTATTCTTATTATCATCTGACTGTCGATTTTTATTCATAATACACCTGATATTACTAAAATTTCAAAGGTATGTTCCTTGACATGGCCTTACGGGCACGTCTTCTTGACCTTTAAACTGGCTCACTTAGAAAATGTATTTAAACTTTTAACATTCAATTTTTTCATTGGTCCATGGAAGCGTCCATCCAGCCCTAATAATGAGACTAAGACTGCGATCTTTGTTTGTTGAGACATCATTAACTACGTTAGCCCAAAATCTTAGACCAAAAACGAGTACCGTTTGATAAGTACTTGGGGAGGGTGCTTTTTGTAAACGTGGCGGCAGACTGTTACATGGTGCGTACCCTCGGTGTAAGACGTCGAAAATTTAACATTTTCTGTCACGAAAACAAAAACTTTTGGCAGAAATTTTGGTCTAAATGGCTTGTTCTTTTCACTGTTTCTATTCAACTGTGTGTAGGCTTTGTAAATGCAATCTGGAAGTTGAAGGGGAGGGGGGAGAGGGGGGTTTGTACTCAGAGCGGTAAGGTAGAGTTAGGTTCGAAACCTTAAAAATGTTTTTCACCCCATCAGATCACTACAGCTATTGCCACTCACTTCAAATTAAAGTCATGAAAAGCTGACCTGTCTGATAGAGGACGGACATACGATAGAACTATTATTTGAGGCTCAAAAAGAACCATGAGTATTTGATCACCATACGATCGTCACAAGCACAGTTTCATGTCATCAGATTCTTAGTCGGTAGATTTATATAGACTAATTTGCGAATTTCATCAGCGTTGAAAGCCGGTGCTTTTTCACTGAAGATCATTTCCTCTACTGAATCACTTATTTTCATCAAGCTAGACATCTAGTTTTTATTGTTACTATGTATTATTACAATTTAATTTAGTTACAATTGTTTATTCCTTTAAATTCGTCTCTCTATGGCCTGTGTTACATTTACGTGAACTGAAAACAATATGGTACTTAATACATTGATATTATACACAGCAGTCAAAGTACATTGAAATCACGTGCATATCTTGAGCTCTCTTGGATTTAAGCTAGATTTCTTTCCAAAACTCATCAGATTTGACGAAATTTAATGTTACCAAAATTTGTCGCTTTTTCGCAAGCGAGACAGCGAGAAGTTCATCGGCGCAACGCAAGTGAGATGAAAATGAAAACAATTTAGGACAATAGGCGTAATCCATACATGACTATTTACCTGCCCAGTGGTATCACCATCACAAAGGAACGAAGACATAACTGCTCAAGTAACCCCGTTCACTGCTTCATTAATGAACACATTTTGAGAACTCAAACAAAATTTACACGTCGACAACTGTGGTTATAATCGCGATATTTGAGTTTTTAGCATAATTATTCTTGAAACGTTTTTTTATTTATTCATAGGTCTTGAATAAATAAATAAATTTGTTTCAATTCATCTTGACTCACTCGCCCGAGAACCTGACTATTTTTGAGATAAATCTTCCACAAATTAAGATGTTAATACGTACTGAGTTAAACAAAGAGATAAATCAACATCTTATTTCCAAGACCTTCGAGATTTTATAATTTCTCATCCAGGTGGAGATCGGTCTCGTAAAGCAGAGGAGCCTTAGGAAAAATGTGGGATATTAGCTAAAGACGAAACTGGGGCGTGTACTAGAGCAGGCTACCGCATGTGCGATCGATACCGAAATGCAAACTAACCATTCAACTCCAAGAAGTGATTAACACGTAATTTCTCCCCATAATATCAATACGTTATCCAGCAAACAGGTAATGAGAACACTCAAACTCATCCAGTAGTAACAGAAGCTTATGACCTTAGGTTATAAGCTTCTGTTAGTGGTTGTTATCCTGATCTAACACCAAATTTTTGTAGCTAATTTATATAGAAGTGTGTAGCAACCAGGGGGAGAATTCAGTAACAATCTGGTCTTGAGAGTTAAAGGGTTAATGGCCGACTGAGAAGATCACATGCAATGATCACATGCAGGGATGTACACTGATGAATATTTTCCCGAAGTACTTGAAGCATTATGCTCTACAGGGTGCAGAAAAAAAAGGGGGCAGAAAAAAGGGGGGGGGAGTTGAGGTAAGTTTTCAAACCTCTTCCATAAGTGTATCATTCAAAAAAGCTACACGCATTTAAGTTTCATTTTGGTGTATCTAGAACAAGGAATAGAACAAATTTGCACACAGCTTTTCTTTGTTTCTGAGGGAAATCAGTTACTTGCAGATCTCCTTTAAAAAAGCCTTTATTAAGAAAAATTATTTTCTTTCATTTAATTTTTTTTATCATTTTAATCAAGAATGTTGAACACAAATCATCACAAGTAATAAATATCCTCTTCTTCCCAAGCCCTTCTTTACTCTGTCAGCATTTGAAGCACTTGTCGAACTCTGGATTCAACCACAGTATCCTGTTCACTTCCCCCTAACATTGTAAGAGAAAAATAGCACAAAGTAGTGAACCAGGGCCAAAGGAAAAGCTAACACAATGAAGAATAGGATTAAACTCTCTGCTTTTGGTTAGGTTTGATAAGATTAGATTGTCCATGGGGAGGGGGGAAGGGGTGATTTGAGGATTTTGAGAGGGGATCACATGGTTCTCAGTGCAAACAGAGGGGGGATTAGTCATTGCCGACAGAGAATAAAAGAAGGACTATAGAAAATGGATCACCAATTAACTGCCAATGAGGAGGGGATCAGAAGAATACTACAAAGCCTTATGGAGGGGTCAGTCAAATTTTATTGTGACCTAACTAAAATCCTCTGACCCCTCTAGACAATAAATAATGACCATTTCCTGGATTTGGTTAACAGAGATTTCTCTCGTGAAATAGCTGATGACAGTGAGGCCTGAATCAACTATTATACAAGGATATTAAGAGTGAATAGAATAATTGTTTCAGAGTAAATCTGTTAGTTAATTCAAATTTTAGCAACAAACTCATATTTTCTTTTCTTTTTTGCTAACTATACAATGTTAGCAAAATAATTTTGTTCACTGCCTATCAGGCAATATGCAGCCAGTAATGTGGCCAATCAGGTTACTGCATTTGTGGTAGGAAGCTAGTAGATTTTACATTACAATGATGACAAGCATCCACCCTAATGAGGAGGGGAGATGCCAGCAAACACTTAATATGCTGAGGGGTTTTAGTCACTTCCTTTAACATCACAGATACAATAAATGTCCATTTCCAACTATATCACTGATCATAAATGTCTTCATATACAAACCTTCTCCAGAGTCGAGCCTTCGCTCTGCTATCTTTATAGTCTTCTCTTTTGCTGCTCCTTCCAGTCCCTCGAGATATTTAAGCAGAATGCCAAAGTTTTCATCAGAGATCTAAAGAAAGGTTGGATAAGTTTAGTTTAAATTGTTTGTACTTCATTTTATAACTGAAATTGTTTGTTTAAATTGATTTTTTTATGTTTTTGAAGAGGGTTATACTGTGAGGGATGGAAAATAGTAAAATCAGGACTTATGAGAGGCATAGACTCCTGCTTCCAAATCCAAGACTGTGTAAAACACTTTTAGCAACTTACCCTTGTTTTACTGAGATTATTGCAAGATACTAATAATACTAGTTTTCCATATACCAGCCCATTGTTTAGAAGCTTCAACCATTTATAATAACATTTATCCTTTGCAAAGCTGTTTCTCTACTAAAAAGGGATATTCATGCAGATCTTAGACAAATTGGAAAAAAAATTTTTTTTCTTATTTCCTTGTTATTACCAAGTAAGAGAACTTTGCTTTTTACATGCTCTAAAAATCAACCCCTCTTCACTTAAGTACTAAACTTTTAGGTGCTTTCTGTACAAAGCTTTTGAAAGTGCTTTCAAGTTTAACAATATCTAATCAATTAATTTCACTGACCTGCTCTTGATCAAACATATTCTTCAGAAGCCACACTTGACGAACTTTCTTAAAGTTCCAGTGTTGCCTATTATTAAACCATGTGTGCAAGTAGTCAATAGCTGGATGAAGGGCAGATTTTGATTCCTTTTGCGGTTCTTGTTTAGATTTCTTTTTCTTCTTTTTCCCTTCATTACTCATCTCTTCCTTGACTGCACCCTCACAAGTCTCTAACATTTCCTCATGAAGTCCCTCATTACTTTGTGCATCAAATATGTAATGTAACTCATTTCCTGTTTTCTTCTTTTTCTTTTTCTTTTTGCTTTCTATCTCAAAATCATCAATATTTATATCATGAATGTTTTCCGGGTTACCTGAATATTGTTCTTCAAAAAAGGCATTATCATCAGGCTTCTTTTTTGTCCTTTTCTTCCCAACAACGATAGCTGATTTTTTCAATTTTTTATCATGTTTGCCTTTGGAATTTTCCCTATTCTCGCGTTCCTCTTCATTTTGAGCCGAATAATTTTTCTTTCGTTTCTCTTTGTCGAGACTTTCTTGATCGCTGTTTTCCCTAAACTTGTCTTCTTTTCCGAAACTAACGAGCTGCTCTTCGCCAAAATTTCGCTGTTTACTTTTTTCTGAGCTTGTGGGTTCTTGTGTTCTTTCACGGGGTTTTAGCTTACCTTTAGATACTCTCTCTTTTTGTTCGCCTTTAGATTGGCAATTATCAGTTGTGCTGTTGCACTCTTCTGTCCTCTCAACAACTGTCTCCTTCTTTATTTTCTTTCCCTCTTTACTTGAGATATCTCTTTGGCAGTTCTCTCCGTCAGAATCTCGAGCACGTTTTTGCCCTTTCGGCAAAGTTTCACTCTGACTAAATTTGCGAGCCATCGCAACACTTTTCTGATCACGATGCCCTTCGTATTTTTTTGCTTTCTTTATCTCTTTCCTTCCCTCTTTTAAATTTCCCTTTGCCATGACGAAAGTAAATGCTGGGACGAGAGTTTTACTGCTTTGATCACTTCAATTTCATGAGAAATCTAGCGGTCAACTCACAATGTTCTCCGCCATGTTGAAAGTTACCGAGTGGGAACCTGGGTCGTCGGAGGTAAAGGCAGCCCCATTCCT